ATATTTTTTCTATTATACTGAGCAAGACCGGTGTAGTAACCAGCGTGCCAGGTCCGGGCCTGTGTCTCAGTTGGCTTAGCCAAGTGGATTCGATCCACCCAGGAAGCCCTCCTAGGATAGGTTCGACCTATCAATCCTGCCGCTACCAAATAGAGTATTGAACATCATCGGTTTGATTGATAATAAAGTAGGCCTTGCCTAGTATTACAATCATTTGTAGAACTTGCGAAGATGATGGGAATTCCAGGTTCTTTCTACCGGTACCCCTTCAAGAGTTTCTAACCGGTATGTCCCCGGGCGAATGATGGCTCTAACCCTATATGGGCCTTCCCAGTTTTTTGCTAGCTTTCCTCCGTCGCCGGGTCTACTTGCTTCTCTTCTCCGTAGGACTTCATCCCCAACTTGGAAGTACCGCGGCCCAACCTTGTTGTCATGGTACTTCTTCACAACTTGTTGGTATGTGCTCATTTTGACTTCCGCGGCCATTCTCCGCTCTTCGACCAAGTTGAGTTCGGCCAAGTGGTCCTCCTCATTTTGCTGGGGTTGATAGTTTGATTCCCGGAACGTTGGGAATTCAGCTTCGATGGGCAGCCTTGCTTCACATCCATAGGTTAGGGAGAATGGAGTTTCCCCATGAGCCCTCCTGGGTGTTACCCGGAATGCCCATACGATGTGTGGGAGCTCTTCCAGCCACTTGTTTCCTGCTTCTCCCAACCGCTTCTTCAAACCATCTACAATAGTTCTGTTGGTGTTTTCGACTTGGCCATTCCCTTGGGGGTATGCTACCGAGGAGCGATTGTGCTTGATCCCGAAGCCCTCCAAGTATTCAGTGAACCTTGGATTTCGGAATTGTGGGCCGTTGTCGGTGATGAGGTTTATGGGCGCTCCAAACCTCGTGATGATGTTCTTCCAAATGAATTTCTTGCATTGTTGCGTGGTAATGTTGGCCAATGCTTCGGCCTCGGTCCATTTGGTGAAGTAATCGATGGCTACGATCACGAACTTCTTCCCTCTTTGGGCGACTGGGAATGCTCCAATGATATCAACCCCGAACCTAGCGAATGGGATGACATTTGATACGGGGTGATAGTAGGTTGCTGGTCTACCGGGGTACTTGTAGAACACTTGACATGTTCTACATTTCTGTACATACCTCTCACAGTCCTGGACAATTGTTGGCCAGTAATACCCCTACAAGATAATGCGCTGGGAAAACGTACGGGACATTTGATGCGCCGCGCATACGCCTTCGTGGACTTCCGCTATGACTCGCTCAGCCTCCCGGTTGGTTAGACATCTCAGGAGTGGCCCCCCAAATGCCCTTTTATACAGCTTTCCATCAAGAATTTGGAATCGGGGTGCCCTGAGCTTCACTTTTCTTGCCCGGTCATCTTGTTCTGGCAAGCTCCCATCCGTCAAATATTCCATCAGATCACACATCCAATGGTCGTCCGCCCGGACCAAGTTTGATCGGTCAAACTGGCTCACGGTCGCTATAGCGGCGACTTCCAATTTCTCGATGCTTGCACGGTCAAGGATCTCCACCCGGGCAAGTTTCGAAACATGCTCGGGAGCATACTGCGTCAATTTGGAGAGAAGGTCTGCATCCGCGTTCTCCGCCCGGGGAATTTGGGCGATCTTGAATTCTTCGAAGCCTTTCAACACGGCAAGTACAAGGTTCTTGTATTGTGCCATGCGTCCTTCCCTTGCTTCCATGTTACCGGCCACCTGCCCTACTATCAGGCTAGAGTCAGATTTGACACTGACCCGACTGATTTTCAGGGCTTGGGCAAGTCTGAGCCCTCCAACCAGAGCTTCATATTCTGCCTCATTGTTCGTCAGCTTGAAATTGAAGACGATTGCATGGTAGATCTTGAACCCTTCTGGGGTGGTGAACACGATACCACCCCCGTATCCTCTAGGCTCGGACGCCCCATCAACTGCCATCTCCCACCATTGCTCAGTGGGCTTGTTGACCGGTAAATCTGGAGTTAGACCGGTCATTTCTACGAGGAAGTCAGCAAGGGCCCGCCCCTTAATTGCCGACCTCGGCCGGTACTCAATGTGGAATTGAGTTAACATCATCGCCCACTTCACCATCCTCCCGGAGGATGTTGAATTTCGCAACACTGCACCCAGCGGTTGGTCAGTCAAGACTTCTACCGGGTGAGCTTGGAAGTAGGATGTTAACTTTTTTGCGGAGATGAAAAGCGCATAGGCTGTCTTTTCCATCGCCGTATATCTACTCTCAGCCCCGTTTAGTGCCTTGCTCACATAATAAATGGGCTTTTGTGCCCCATCATCTCTTATTAAAACGGAGCTTACAGCGTTTGGGGAAATTCCCAGGTACAGATACAGAGTTTCGCCCGGTTCGGGTTTAGACAATACAATATCCGA